AAAAGAATTGCAAATTATGGAGAGATCGAATAGGGAGAAAAATATAATTTACCAAATTGCTTTATAAAACAGTCTTCTTGTATCTGGAAAGCAAAAGGAAAATCCTGGTCCTTTTTTTTTCTTCTTTTTCATATATATTTTTATTATTTCAGAGAGGAAGGGAGAGGGAGAGAGATAGAAACATCAATGATGAGAATCATGGATCAGCTGCCTCCTGCACGCCCCCTACTGGGGATCGAGCACCCAACCGGGGCATGTGCCCTGACCAGGAATTGAACCGTGACTTCAACCACTGAGCCACGCTGGCTGGGTCCTGGTCCTTTTGATGAAGTGGAAAAGAACCAAATTCTAACTCTATTAGCTTACTTTTGATCTTTAAATTTATTTCCTTAAATTTATTATTTAGGAAAGTGCATGCTGGGCCTTCATTCTGAGGGGTTTTAAAGACTGGGCATTTTCAAGATGTCTTAGGGGAGGATCACAATAGAATAAATCAGCTTTATGCTGATATACCAAAATGAGGTTTATTCTCAACTTCATTGTCCTTGGGTGTGGTGAGCAAATGACACTAATTGGATTTCTGCTATCTGTCTCTCTGAGTAGGTTGTTATTTACCCTCTGCTTGGGGAGGAAAAGTGTAAACCATTTACTCTTAAGTGTCCTTGGGAAGATAGGATTGATGGATGACTGCATACTGCTGTTTAAATATCTGTCTCAGTTTCTCTATTCTGCTTGTTCTGGCTTACTAGACTGTGTCATTTTAACATTTCTCTTACAAACCTTCCATAACTTTCACAAACCTGTCTACAACCTTCACAAACCTTTTAACCCATTCAGAAACAACTAGCTTTAGAACAATTCACTTTTTCCTTCAAAATATGTTTTCATATTCCATTACCAAAACCATACAATTTCTTTCCAATTAATGTGAACTTTTAACTCGTAGAAACCTCAATTTCCAATAATAACCAAAAAGCAAGCAACCAGCATTCCTTAAATTGACTTTTATGAACATTTTAAACACTCTCAATTTCAAGCCCAATACACCTTCAAAATACAAGACATTATACCAAGATTTCCAAATCAATTTTCTAGCTCTTTTGTATTAAGAGGCCCAAAGTAGGTAAACTTAAGACTTGTCTAGCAATTAATGTTTAACAGCTGAAATGAGTTAATTTGATCTGCTCACATGGCTAAGGTATTTTTCCTTTCAATAAGGGTTACCTCCCAGAAACTTGCATTTTAAAAGATGGCCTAGAACAGCCATGGGCAAACTACGGCCCGGCCCGCGGGCCGGATCCAGCCCGTTTGAAATGAAAAAAACTAAAAAAAAAAAAAAAAAGACCGTACCCTTTTATGTAATGATGTTTACTTTGAATTTATATTAGTTCACACAAACACTCCATCCGTGCTTTTGTTCCGGCCCTCCGGTCCAGTTTAAGAACCCATTGTGGCCCTCGAGTCAAAAAGTTTGCCCACCCCTGCTTTAGACTTTGCTGTACAGACTTCAAAGTTGCAGGCTAATGACCCCTGTTTGTAGAGATTAATATTCTAAAAACATATATATTGATGCAAAAGAACATAGAGAGGAATGACAAAGACATAATATTAAACATTGAAGCAAAATAGAAATGGAAAACTTTACATCCTTATGTTGTACATGACAGGGAGGGAGGAGGGCGAGTGGAATAATTGGAGTACCTACATTTTCATCTCAAATGGTTCCTTCTCCTCTCAAATGGCTCTCTTAAGAGTTTCCTTTTTTTCTTCTTGTTGCATACATTTAAAAGCCACAAAATATTCATCAAAGGAATCCTGGAATCAAATAGTGTTAGCTAAAGGGTGTCTGAGACCATATTCCTGGTGGTTTCTTCAAGAGCCTGGCAAATTCTCTCCATGACCACAAGGGGGATGTGGTAGCTAGATATTAAAAGCA